CCGGCACCAACAAAGGTTAGGAGGGGCAAAGAAGATCCTCTCCTTAGCCTTGGGGGGGAGAGGGCCCTCCTATTGGATGTTGAACTTTTGGCCTCCAAGTGTGAGAGGTAATTTGGGATTCCAAGGTCCCTCTTGGCTAGTCGGCACTTCCCGCAGGCTGGTAGGTATTGCCTGAGTTTGTATAGGGAAGTAATTTTTTGTCTCCCTCTCCCCTGCCCCTTCTCTTTGTGTGCTGATCCTGGGACTTCAACTCGGGGCTTTTTTTTTCCCCCTCAAAGTTGGCACTCTACCACTTGAGCCGTAGCTCATTTCTGGCTTTTTTTGGTAGTTAACTGGAGATAAGAGTCTCACAGACCTTCTGCATGGGCTGGCTTCAAACTGTGATCCTCATATCTTAGCCTCCTAAGTAGCTAGGATTACAGACATGAGCCACCATCAAGAGAGAAAGCAGTGTGTCTAGGAGCCCTCTTCTACTCATCCACTTCCCTTTTCTGTATGCTCAGAGGTTCATTATTCTGAGTTTTCTTTTCTCCTATCTCTAAAGATAAATGTACATGTATAAGAAAAGACCAAAATGGACCAAAGATCCATTCAGGCACCCACCACAGAGCACTGTTATTACTGCCAGCATCCAGTCACAACATTCAACCCAGGCAGGAACCATAAGTGACTCCCGGGACACTGTTACCCTCTCTCCATTGGCAATTGGGATTCTGTTCAACACCCATCAACCCTGGAGCCAGTGAGTCAAAGGTGCAAGCTCAGCAGGGTCTTCTACCCACCAGCACTGGCCGCGCTTCCAGAAAGGTCTAGGTTACCCAAGTTTCCCACTTATAAGGTTGAGGACTGTGGGCAATTTTTAACTTGTGGGGTTCAATTTCTCTGCCTACAAAGCATATCATGATCGTTGTGAGAACAGAATAATGTATATGGAAAGTCTAGCCCATGCCAACATATATTACGATGAGTCCAATGAAAGAGTGAAACCTCATGGTGAGATGTTTATAGCAACCAACACTCACAACCACCACCACAGGCACCCGTGGTTTATCTGGATGATAGACTTGAGGACAAGCAGCTGTCATTTCATCCCTAACTCTTCAGAGAGGAAAGAGCTACATCGCCTTCAATATATACTTCAATCACATTTGGTAAATCATACTCAACATTCTTAAAAATCACTCACTTGGGCTGCCCAGAGCCAGCTGCCGAATGGGAGGTGTAAGCCAACAGGCATTGGAACCCTCAGCTTTCTAGAGTGTTCCCTGCCTCTTGTTTTTAAAGGAATATAAAGGAATCTTAACACTTGACTGTTGAAATTAATGATAGTGTCTTGACTTGAGTAAACATGTAGCCGTGACAAAATGGCTTTCTATTCAATTTTAAGACCTGGTAAAATAGGAAGTTGAAATTCACCTCAAACCTTTTATTGTTAAAACCTCAATAAATAAACAGTGGTTTGGTGGCACAGCAACCTGCCACCTCTCCCTCCTGTCCCTCCATCTACACTCTTTTGCTGAACATTTAAGATATCTGTTAGGATAGTACTCTAGCACAACTGATTCTAGACAAATAGAGATGTGAGTCTCTAGCTGTGATTTCCCGTCCACAGATGGGGAGAGGCTCCTCCCCCCGACCCTCCCACCAGGGTCCCACCTAGGCAGTCCCTACACTGTCTATAAACCCCGGTGGCCTGTCTTCCAGTCCTCGGATCACTGATGTTTCTGTAAACTTGAAAAACACTCCCACATCTGTACTGTATCAGTGAAGAACTTTCCCGACTACTTCTGGGATATTTTTCTTAAAACTACTGCTGTCATTTCAAAGAGAACTAAAAACACAAGTGGTATTGCTTACAGCATTGTGTTCAGTATAATATAGATACTGTAGGGCTAAACCTGGAAATGAACGGTTTTCCTCAGGTCAAGAATACAGGGAAAGTCTTGACTGAAAAAGACTCTCATATAATCCCAGTTAATGTTCTAATTTCAAGAAGAAAAGAAAAAGGCAAAGGTCCATGTGAAACTTGACTGGTCTGAAATAGCACTTTCTTATGGGAAAAGAAAGAGAGAGAGAGAGGAAGGAAGAAGAGAGAAAAGAACAGAAAGAGGAGAGAGGAAGAAAGAAGGAAGGAGGGGAAGGGAGAAGAGGAGAGGTGGGGGAAGGAGGACAGGGGAGGGCTCGGGGGAGGGAGGCAGCCAGGCACAGGAGAAAGGAAAAGTACTCGAACGGAAATATCTTGGACATTTGTTTCTGAAGCTTTGTTTTTGCCATTTTGCAATGACGTTCTCCATATCAAATTCATGTTTTGGAGCAAAAGAACATGGACAATCTAGTTAACACCATTTTTTTTTAGAGTAGCAACTAAGCCCTTTCGGGAACTCTAAAAGCCAATTATTATTGCTTAGATGTTGAGAAAGTAAAACGTTTTGAAAAGGAACAAAAAAGGGGTGACGCTTGGTGTGAACCCTTATACTTTAGTCAGTACGTAGAGCTCCAAATTGCTGAAGACTGCCACTGATGACTCCTACACCCCAGTGTCAGAGGTCAAGTGCCAGAGGTCAAGGAATCCAATGGGACCTCCCCCCCATACCCCCTCTCCTGCTCTATTGCAAAGAGACACAGATGATATAAAAATAATAGGTAAGATTTCCTCGCTCAAAAAAAGTAGAATCCATGGAGACAAGTTCAATATACTCCATAGGGCTGGGCTTCCCATTGCCTTTAAAGATGCTTCATAACAGCAGGAAAAAAAAAAAAAGGTAATCCCCTTTTCAACTCTGTCATATGAATGGCCAGAGAAGTGGTTCGAGATGGAGAAAAGAGGTCTTCCTTCTGCTCTTACTCATGAAATCTGAAGATGACTTACATTCAAAGGACCCCAAACCCAAGATTGAAGAGTTGGGCTTTATATAGTCCCTTCAGCAGAAAAACATGGTTCCAGCCTGAGCCTATCTTCCTCGGCGCAAGTTCCATTTGCCCTCATTTCCCACAGAGGTTTGTATTATGGGATCTTTTGGAACTGATGCACATGTTTTTAAAATACTTATTTGTGACAATCAAGCAGCAGGAAAGCAATGATTTCACAGAGCTTTCTTTTCAAATCTAACTCCAGAGGCAGCAACCCCAAACACCTTGCTTGAGTCTCAGTGTCTACACAAGACGAAGAGGGGCCACATCACAGTTGCTGTGTGTGTGGTGACCCATGGGAAGAGCTGAGAATCTTCTGCTCAAATGAAAGACCGTCTCCTACCCACGTAACTGGGGGAACCAAGGGACAGGCAGCTTATCATGCTCTGTAGAAAATGTGGACATTGCTTGTGAGAGCATCCATCTGTATACTAACCCCTGGAGAGAAGCAGTGGCCCAGAACCTGTACCAAACAGACGTGCACCCCATGACACAACTCCTATGCAGAAAAATGCCTGGGCAAGCTTATTTCTACTATCCAAGAGCAGCAGAGAAGCTCCTGCCATGCACTGCTGGTCACCTGCCCTTTGCTCCAGATGTGGTATTTATTCTTTTCTTTAGGTTGAACAAACCTAGCTCCCCGAGACAGGAATAGTACTACAGCCATATCATGTACAGCTGTGTTCTGCATGGCACGGAAAATGACTGTTCTCTGCATGATTTCTTTGCAATGAAAGTGAGTTGTGTGTGCTATCTCATCTGGTGTGGTGGGTTTGGTGTCCTTACTGTATTTGAAAGTGTTTTTTTTTTTTTCAGTTGCCAGCTAGTACCCTGGAGTAGGGCAATCATACTCTTTATAGAGTTGAAAATATTATGCAAATAGAAACCTCTTTGGATAATAATAATGCCTTAAAGATAATTAAAGAAAAACATTACGCTTGATGTAATCATATATATATATATATGCATATATATAGACAGTCCTCCTATTGTTATTTTCTATTTTTTAAAAATAAAGTAACAGGCTGGGCACTGGTGGCTCACACCTGCCATCCTAGCAACTCAGGAGGCTGAGATCTGAGGATCGCAGTTCAAAGCCAGCTCAGGCAGGAACGTTTGTGAGACTCTTATCGCCAATGAACCACCAGAAAAAGCTGGCAGTGGTGCTATCACTCAATGGTAGAGCTCTATCCTTGAGCAAAAGGAACTTAGGGACAACACTCAGGCCCAGAGCTCAAGGCCCAAGACTGGCAAACAACAACAACAACAACAACAGATATTTGATAGAGAAATCCATAAATAATATAAAGGCAACAAGAATGTAAAGTATTTTCACCTCCACCTTACTAGGTAGGGTGTGTGTGTGTGTGTGTGTGTATCTTTAAATCTAATGTCAGGTAAGAGAACCACATAGCCAAAGTTTACTATGACAAAGCCTCATCACTGTGTACACACAGAGCTGGCCCTCTCTATCTAAGGGCTCCACATTTGAAGATTTAACCCGCCATGAGTTGGAAATATTTATATACTCAAAACATACAGCATTTGTGCTTGTCACAATCTTCTAAACAACACAACAGCTATGGACATAGCCTTTACATGGTATCAATGCTATGAGTCACCCAGAGATGATTTAAGGTATATAGAAGAAGTGCACAGAAGTGCATAGGTCATGTGCAAATATTATGCCAGGCCATTTATAGACAGGACTTGGGTCCTGGAACCCATGCTCTGGATGCCAACGTGTGTGTGTGTGTGTGTGTGTGTGTGTGTGTGTGTGTGTGTGTGTGTGTGTGTTTTGTGTGCATATGTATGTGTATGTATGGACATGTGTGTGTATACCCATATTATCCACAGCCATATCTTCTCTATATTCTAAGAGCCATGCTTCCCAACCCAGGGCCTCTTGTAGCAGTGCAGAGCGGACTGAGCCTGGGCCTCTATGTCTCACACGCTCCCAGGGGCTGCAGCTAAGCATGAAGAGCTTCCTTTGTGCATCCAAGAAAAGCCCACCGTGTTCTGGGTGAGCTTTTCAGGGACTCCCCCCTCCGGCAGGGGCCAGGTAGGTGTGGCTCCATCCAGGTACTTACCCTGTAGCTGACTCTGAGGCTGGGGGTTAAAGGCAGTGGTGTGGTTCAAGGAGGCGCGAGGGTTGGGCGTGGGGGCGGGGTGGTGCGGGCTGACCCTCATGGCCGTGCGCCTCAGCTGCTCCAGTTCACTGAGCCGCTCAGAAAAGGACAAGCTCCCGGGCTTGGTCTGATCATCTAGTTTCTGCCGATGTCCTATTTGTAAGGGGGGAGGGGGGGGCAGGTGTGGAAGGGAGGGGGAAGGGAATGGGGAAGAGAGGCAGGGAGGAGGAAGGAGGGAGGGAAGAGATCAGAAAATGTATTGTGGACTTTCTAAAAGTGGGGGTTTTCTTATCTTCCCCCTCCCTCTCCCCTCACCCCCAACATTAGCTTGCTGCCAGCATGATCATGGGGCTCTCTTACTGCCTGTGAGAATTCAGGGCTGTCATCCCTAAAGTAGACTTGAGACTCTTTCTTAAGAGGCTTCTGGGTGCTCCCCAAGTCTGGGGTAGGCCTCCCCGCACCCACTTGGGCACCCATCTGCAGGATCTGCCTGGTGGGGTGTTAGCCTGTGCCGGTTCCCGGACAGGGACACAAATGCATTTCCTGTTGGCTCTGGTGGGTGGGCCATGGCAGCCAGGGGCATCTGAGTGCCGCTCTCCAGCCTGCCACGGGCCTTACAGGCAGTAGCTTGGGCCCTGGAGGTTTACACGCCCATCCACAGGAAATGGGGTGGGGCTGCAAACCCTTGGCACCAAGGGAATCAGATTTCCTGCTATTAGTATGGCTCCCCGGCAGCCCCGGCTTCCTGTCTCCCTTTCTTCTCCAAAGCTCACAGCTGAGGGTGCTCCTAAGAGGGGGCAGACAGAAAGGTACAGCCTGGGCCTGTCCATTGTGCCCAGAAGGTCAGACCCACTGGAGCTCAGGAGGGGCAGCCAGCCTATTTTCTGAGCATGCTCGGGACTCAGGAATGGATGTGTGGTAGGTGGGTGTGCTCCTTAGTGCCCTGTGGACAGCAGTCGGGTCGATGTCACTGTCCAATGGGGCAGGAGAGCGAGGCCCTGGTTTTCTCCTCCTAACCTCACACTGTCACTAAAGTAGAAAAGCCAGAGGCCGTGCTCTCGTGAAAGAGACACAAGCAGCGTGGGCCGGGCGATTTACTCTTCTGGTGAAGAAAACAACCTTTTGCTCCCTCCCCACCTTTGAGGTATTCTTCATTTAGTTAATTGATTTATGTATTTACTTTGTGCTGGCACTGGGGCTTAAAATCACAGCCCCAAAGGATCGCCGCCTGGCTTTTTCTCTCTAGGCTGGATTACTTGAACCACACCACCACTTCTGGTTTTATGTCATTTAATAAGAGATGAACATCTCCCATAGCCTTTTCTGCCTGGCCTGGATTGAACCTCAATCCTCAGATCTCAGCCTCCTAAAAAGGATGGCAGGTGTGAGCCTGAATAGATGATGAACCTGCCTGAAGATTGCCCTTGAAAAGGGACCCTTCTTGGGTCATAACTGCGTGGCAAGTTAGAAAGAAGACTCTGTATTTCACTTCCCGACTCGCAGTCCAGGGTAGGCCTGAGACAAAGGACAGCACATTTTCTCTGCGCACCCCCCCCAACTCAGTTCCCAAATGCTACAGTTATAAAATTAAACTGTATAACTTGTGCAGTGGCTCCATATCAGCGGCTCGCTGAGTCTTCCTGCCGTGGGGGCCCCTGGAACCACTCACACCATCTCAAATTCCAGCCCAGAAAAAGGAGCTGCTATACTGAGGTGATTTTTATCATTGACAAGACCTGTGTGGCTCCGAAAGAAGGAAAAACACTTCAGCATAGTATTTGTGTAGTTCAGAGGCAATGCTCACGCTCTTTTCATGTGTCACCGAGGCAAATCTGGACTCTGATTCAGCGTGTAGCCCTCAACACTCAACTCAAACACAAACACCCTGAGTCACGCAGGCTGGGTCGGTGCAAACCTATGTGTGAGAGGCCTCTCACGGGCCGGGTATTTTAAGCACCAGCTCTGTGGACAAAGGGGACTGTACCCCTCACTCAGGTTGATCAGAAACATCAAAACTCATCTTTTTTTTTTTTTCTAGAACATTCTGTGTCAGTCAATCATGCCAAAACCCGGTGACCCTGGAGTGGAGCTTTTCTTGTACCCTCCTTATTTTTGTGATGGAGTGATCTTCCCATTCACACTGAAAAATCTGAAGTTCCTTTACAGAGAGACACAACTCCAACTCTAAGGCCTTTTGAAAACATCATCTAGCCATTTAACTGCATAGTCCGGCCTAACGCCAAGGTACGAGGAGTCAAAGCAACAACACGGCATGATTCTAGACAGTTCTACGGCCTCAGAAAGAATGCTGCCTGGCAAGGGCTTCCAGCAAGTTCTGTTTCTCTATCAACCTCACATTCCTTGGGCATTCAGTGGTATTTTTTGCAGACGCCGTCTGAGGGACAGTCTGTGACCAGGACATGGTGTGTGGGGATGATTCTGCTGTGTGGCACTGGGTGGTGGCATCTTGGCCTAGTCTCTTTGGCATTGTGTGTACCTCAGCAAACTCAGGGATACTGCCAACAAGAAACCCAACAGGAATAAGTTGGTTCAAGCCAGCCACGGTATAGCCAGACCCAAGGTGAGATTGTTATCTTTCTAGTTTCCCCTCATTGCCCTATGCTTTAAAAAAAGAAAAAAGATCTTAACATGAGAGCCATTAATGTACCATTTGACATCTGCCCAAATCATAGTCATTTACAGAGATTAACTGATGACGATCTCCTGGAGCAGGACTGTTGGGGCCTAACACTCTGAGTACACAATTCTTCACTCTAAGCTATTCCCTAAGCCCCGAGAGCCTCAGAGCGGAGTTTAATGTGGGAGGATTGGGGAGGAGTTCATTCCCCACTCTTCCCCGCTTGTATTCTGGGAGCAGCACAGCCTTGGAGAAACCTTAGCCCTCCCTCCTCCCCTCTGCCCTCCTTGCTCTCAAAAGTGCTGGAAATGAAAAAGCAACTAGGTGTGGTCCCGATGTATTTATATAAGCTAGTGCTGAGAAACTGCCTAATTCTTCTTTTCTGAAGCCATCAGACTTCATGTGCTAAATAGCAGTGTTTTCCATAAAACATAGGAGCTTCTGATAAACTTTCCAGGAGGAGGAAGAAAATGAATGCTTTATGTTTTTAGGTGTCTGTATCTACACGCTATTAAACTATCCATTTGCTCCTTGAGTTTTAAAGAGAGTAGTATGGAAAATGCCCACTATGAAATTCACTTTTCTTCTTCTGTACTGAGTCCAGGGTTTAGAAGAGCCCTAGGGAATTCAACTTTGGATCAGACCACTGGGAGAATTATGCAGCCCTGAAAAGGTGCACGCTGGCAGCCAGTGGTTTTGAGCTTCTTGGGAGCCAATTATGAATGCTTGCAGGGTGATGTTTAAAATAGTGGCTGCCTAAGGACTGCATACTGGGGCTAGAGGTAGAGTGTAGGGGTAGAGCATTTACCTAGCAAGCTTGAGGTCCTACATTCAAACCCCAGTGCCACCAGAAACAAGAGAGATTAGTGGGATAGCTTACTGTTTGTTTGCTTGTTTTTTTAAAAGATCCAAATTCTTCTATTACCATGGCTACCTTTTTGGGGGGTAGAAAAGTACTCCACTGGAATTGTATTAAACAGAGAGTTACAGAAAGCCAAAAATAAAAATAAACAAGAAAGTATCTAAAATAAAAATAAAGGAATATCCTTTGTTGCATTTTACTTTTTTTTTTTGTTTTTTTTTTTTGTTTTTTTTTTTTTTTTGGGTCCGGTCGTGGGGCCTGAACTCTGGGCCTGGGCGCTGTCCCTCAGCTCTTCAGCTCAAGGCTAGTGCTCTACCACTTGAGCCACAGCGCTACCTCCGGCTTTTTTTCTTTTGCTTATGAGGTGCTGAGGAATCGAACCCAGGGCCTCAGGCATGCAAGCCAAGCACTCTACCACTGAGCCATCTCCCCAGCCCCGCATTTTACTTTTTTAAATTTGACGCTGACCCAGCAAGTTGATTTGACAGTGAAAGGAAAGCATGAAGGGAAAGTAATGAGGGAGACTCTCTGCATGCAGATAAAGGCCCCAAAGAGAAGTCCACAGAGCCTTCCCAATGGGGCATTCATGGTTCAAGGCTCCTCCCATACATCCTCACATTTGATTACAGAAACTCGAGTGTGGAGAAAAGCTCACTTTTCCTGCGCCATGGTCCAATGTCTAGATCCCAGGGTCATCAAGATTATAAAGTGAGAGTACTGAAGTCAGGCACCCGTGGTTCATGCCTGTCATCCTAACTCCTCAGGAGGCTGAGATCTGAGGATTGCAGTCAGAAGCCAGCACAGGCAGATAACTCCGTGAGAATCTTATCTCCCGTTAATCAGCAAGAAGCTCGAAGTGGAGGAATGGGTCAAGCGGTAAAGTACCATCCTTGAGTGAAAAAGCCATGTAAGAGCATGAGGCTCTGATTTCAAGACCCAGGACTTGTGTGCACGTGTGTCTGCACACTCAATAAACCAATAAAGAAAACAGTAGCCGGGCACTGGTGGCTCAAGCCTGTAATCCTAGCTACTCAGGAGGCTGAGATCGGAGGATTGAGGTTCAAAGCCAACCCAGGCAGGAAAGTCCATGAGACTCTTATCTCCAATAAAACATTCAGAAAACTGGAAGTGGAGCTGTGGCTCAAGTGGTAGAGCATTGGCCTTGAGCTGAACTGCTGAGGGATAGAGTCCAGGCCCAGAGTTCAAGCCCAATAACCAACAAAAAGAAAACAGTAACAGTACTGAGAGTACAATCCTCTTGTAAATAGTAAAATAAACCTTCTTAAATAGTAAGCCTAAGCCAATCTGCCAGCTAATTTAATGTTGGCAAAATATTGTCCAATATGATATATCATTTACATATTATATGTTCAATACATTATATAACATAAAGATATGATATATGATATAACATGTTAATACATATCCTAATATATGTTACCTGCATCTGTTTATATACCATCCAATGCTATATAAATACAGGGAGCTCCTAGCTCTCGTCCCAATTGCATTCCATATGATTAAGCTGAGAGAGCAGCACAAGTTATATTGCAGAACTGGAGACAAGCGAGAGAAATTAGCCACATTTTAAAACTGATACAGGAGAAGCAAGGGTCAGAGAGGTTAGATCACTTAACCAATGTCACACAGCCA